GGACAGTAGATTCAGAGAACCGGATAAGGTCCAGCCTTTGCCGTCCTTGCTGAATAGCACACCGGAATTATAGCCGCTGATTTTCAGATGCAGAGGATATAGGGCCTCGCTCCACGCTCCACTACTGTCGACATGTGCAAACCGAGAGTGAATCTTCCGCTAGAACATGAAAGGATACACCGCAATGATTTTTGTCTTTTGTGCATGTCTAGAGTAGGGGAGCCAGGCGCATAGTGAGGTTAATGGCCATGCTGTTCAGAAAAAAAGATACAACAGGAGGAAACAAGGCTCCTATTTTTGTTTGACGGTCTGGGAGAGCATACGTCCGTACGTCCTACCGGGTTTAGTTTGTACAAGGCTATGATCTGGGCTTGCCAGTACCCTGCTCGAACGCAATCAAGAAATGACAAGAATAGGTTGGCAAAACGTGGGTCAGGGTCTGTGAAAACCCAATAGTAGGTCAGGGGGGTTTCTGAAAAACCCTAGATTGGCCTTAAATAGGAGTGAACTTTCATGGAAGAAAGCAGGTAAAAACTGGCGGTAATCAGTGGTTAAAATTTGTACAAGAAACGAGCGAAGTAATTGGCGGGAATCAGTTGTAAAATTTCGGAGAACAAAGGCAGGAAGAAAATGGCAGTAATCAGCTGTCGAACTTCCGGGAAGAAGTTGGCGGGAAGAAAAAATAGGCGGGAAGAAATTGGCGGTAATCAAAGGTCAAAAGGCGGGAAAATAAAGAGACATCATCGGGCAAGATTGCGCTAAGCCCAACCAAAAAACATGTAAGACGAATTATACGGTTGCTACGAGAGACAATATTATTGCAAAAGAGAAAAACTTTCGACTTTATTTATCTGAATTACCCTTCTGCTTTTGCGACCTAGATAGAAAAACTCCCTCTCTCTCTCTCTCTCACACACACACACACACACACACACACACACACACACAGACACACACACACACACACACACACGCGCGCGCGCGCGCGCGCGCGTCTCTCTCTCTCTCTCTCTCTCTCTCTCTCTCTCTCTCTCTCTCTCTCTAGATGGATCGATCGATCGATTTATAGATTCATCGAGCGTCCAGGAAGACACTAATTTGTCGAACGGCAACGGTTATCAGCCGTTATGTATTAATTATACAGTATTAGCTCTCCGTGCTCTCTCCGTCCTCGTCCAGTTAGCCAACTACCTCCGTCTGCTACCTATCACTTTTCCTTCCCCCATTTGCATACAATATTCAGTCAGCGTCTCTGCTGCGGTTCCCTCTGCATCCGCTAGCGAGAGCATGCCACACGTCCATGCCGTATGTGCAAGATGTTCATACCCTCCGTCTATTGACATGAGCTTCCACTAACAGATCCTCAAGCCTCGTCGATAGCTCGCTCATCCTTGGCCTCGCAGCAGCCTCCATCATCAAACAGTTGCTCGCTAAACGCAGCGCCTCCATCGTCATCTGCTGGAATGCGCGCCCTGCCACCTCGTCACGCAAGGAAGAGTCCAGAATTGCATGCGGCATCCCTCCACCAGCAATAAATTCGCTTCGCAAGAACGGCCTCGCCCAGTCCGCTAACGTTTGCCATGATCCGTTACCGGACGGCGCCTCCGTGGCCGCCTTTCGCCCCGTAAGCAGTTCCAGAAGGATCACGCCAAAAGCGTACACGTCGATCTTCTCCGACAGGATTCCGCTCATCACGTACTCCGGCGCCATGTACCCGAACGTCCCGCCCATGTGGGACGTCTTCACCGCCGTGAGGCGTGTTGTCCCGCCAAACACTCTTTCTCCGATGGTCGCTAGTCCGAAATCCGCGAGCGCGACGCGCAGCTTCTCCCCAGCGCCATCACCAAGAAGGACGTTGCTGCTCTWGATGTCGCGGTGAATGACTGGCGGATCGGCTCCCCCGTGAAGGTAACTGAGSCCCCTGGCAATCTGCCAGGCGATACAAATCCGCTCAACGAGTGTCAGAGGAGGGAGACGAGGTCTTCCAGGAACTGCCTTCTCTCTGTGGTGCAGGCGAGCGTACAGACTTCCTCCCTGGAAGTAGGGGTACACCAAGATCGACCGACTCCCCTCGTCACAGAATCCCACCAGTTCGATAAGGTTGGAATGATGGAGTCTGCTCAACGTGTTCACTTCTGCCAGGAACATGCTTCTCTTTCCCTCCGTCAGATCCCCCGTCATCACCTTGATGGCCAAATCCTGATCGTCGATAGAGCCCCAGTACACATCTCCGAACGCCCCACTSTCCCCGATGCGATATTTCTTGCTGAAKTTTCCTGTGCAATGCTGCAGAGCTGCCAGCGAGAATCGTCTGACTTGCAAGGGTTGAASTCCCCCACCTCTCCCGCCCTCCTGGCATGCAACCCCCTCCCTAGTGCCATTGGTGGTACGTCCAATCTCGACGGTTGAGCTACCAGTTGCATTCGGCGATGATTTAGCCTGCCCCCGTTTCCCTCCATTCCGGCGCGCTCTGTACACAAGGACAATAAGGCACGTGGCAAGCGCCAGGAAGGCTGAGATCGACACGGGCAGCCCGACCGCGAGACCTAAATTAGTTCCTTGGGAGGTGGGGACAACCGCCGAAGGTCCTGAAGGCGAAGGGCCAGAAGGAGGAGGAGCAGGCGCCGAAGATCCTGAAGGCCAGGGGAAAGGTTCTGAAGATGAAAGCTTATCCCAAGATGAAGGCATATCCGAGGAAGCTGGGAAGGCGGACTGATCGACGACGGGAGGAGTAGGCGCGCAAGAGTGGAGCTGCGAATTGTTGATTATCAGCTCGAACACGGAACCATCGGACGCTCCCACGAACAGACTTAGTTCGCTGCCCGCTTGGCGAAGCGCCAATCCCCACAACCCGCCGGCACTGTATCTGGCGACCTGCTGTACACTGGTCGCCTTGCTGCAGGGCGCGTCCAGCTTCAGCCACCGAAGTAAACCGCTCCCAAGCGCGGTAACGAAGACGTTACATCCGTCCGGTGTCGCTACTGCTTTCGCCACGGAATCTAACTGAGATTTGGGACCATCGCCATCGACGGACCCCCTCTGGCCCGACCCGGCCACAAGAGTGGCCCTCGCGGAAGGGGAGCGAGGATCGACTCCCCAGACTCGGTCGTAGACCCAGTCGGCGAAATAAAGGCAGCTCTCGTCCGGCAGAAAGCTACTTGAGTCGAATCCAGCGCGTGTAATGTTCGGGTCGCCGGTGGAGGGATTACACACTTCCTTCCATTTCCCGTTGGCGTCCAGCCTCCCGGAGTCTGTGACCGCCGTCGACAGAATCCGAACGGGACTGGCGACGTCTGAGATGAACAGTTCCGTCTTCTTCGGATTGAATGCCACGCTCCATACAAACTTCGCATTTATGGCCACGCTCGTTCGATTGCCAGTCGCCGTGGAAAGCCATACGACACTCGACTGAGCCCCAATACTCAGAGTTGCCCCTGTGACCAGCTGGTCTCCTTCTCTGTTCACGTCGAGACCAAACACGTACGCCATTGATATGTTGTCAGTTATATTCTTCCTCCACACAAAGTCAGATGTCTCACTCAGGCCGCTCCCTGCGCCATACGGCCACCAATAGCTGAGTACCGAGCTATTCTTGAAACCTTGGCGCGCCCGCGCAAGATCGGCTTTTTCGTATCGAGAACCGCCGATTTACAACTGCATCTTCCTCTTTACTTGTACAGAACTCGTCAAGAATGAAACACATCTGGTTATCGGTAGGATGAAACGTGAAGTCGCGAATGATAGATCCGCACGCCCTCCCAGAAGCCGTCGTCTGAAAGTCTGGAGAAGGGGTATGAACGACAATGGGAGGCAGTACGCTCCGGTTGCTCGGTAGGAAGAACTCGGGTTGTAGCAGAGWCATGCTCGCTTCCGCCTCAAAAACTTGTGGCGAGGAAGGCAGCGYGGTTGACACCATCGCCATACTGCCCCTGACCTGCTGGCCGAGGAGACGTGCTCGGCTGTCTCCCGGCTCTGCAGCATTGGCAGCCGAAGACCATTGGCCAAGGACCGGTCGTTTAAAAACGGCGCCATTAACCCGCATAGAAGTCATCGGAAGCAGCAGAACACAAGCAAGGGATTGAAGWAGGAGAGAGCGGGAGARGAGGATCATCYGAAAGCTTTGGCAGCCAGGCAAACAGGCACCACGACCGTGCACGGGCCATGGATGCTCAGCCATCTTTCGTCCTCCGAGTCACTCGCGCCCGCGCACACTCGAACTCGGTGAGAGGAGGATGGCTTGATTACTACTAATAAACATAACGGAACAAACCAGTCGAAGAAAGGGCCTCGCCACACCACTCTCAAGAGCTGTCAGACGTTCTCAAGAGCTGGGTTTTCAAGAGTTTTGGGCCCACTCTCAAGAGCTGTCAGACGTTCTCAAGAGCTGGGTTTTCAAGAGTTTTGGGCCCCTCGCCACACAGCACTCTCTAAAGGGCGATGGTGTTGGACAGAGGATGAAAGAATCACCTTTCTCGGCCTTTTGGCGCAGATCAAGTGCATTGTATCAAGTGCATTGTATCTGATCCGTGATCCATCGGACCACAACCAGGAAAAAAAAAACACTTTGTTTTCTTCGAATGGCGTCAGGATAAGGGCCTGACAACTCTTGAAAATYGAAAGTCCSTCAAGGGTTCGGCCAAGGACGCTTGAAAACGCACGAGTTGCAGGCTCTCAAAAGGGTGTRAAGAGCCACTCTTGACTGCTCTTGACTGCCCCTTGGAAACAACAAGTACTTGGCCCAGCYATCAATGCAGAGCCTGAAAAAGGGAGTACTTGGCCCAGCTATCAATGCAGAGCCTGAAAAAGGGCTGCATGGCCCAGCTATCAATGCAGAGCCTGAAAAAGGGCTGCACGCCTACCCGCCAGCGCAACAAGGAAAAAATGTTTTGGCTGGGGGTGCCAGCCTTTAAAGGCCGGCACCGGAAGTTGCAGGGCGTTTACGACAACGGCCCGCGGCCTATGTATGGGGGAGGCTGTGTGGCGATGCAGCAACTCTTGAAAATGATTTTTTAAAAGTGGTGTGGTGAGGTCCGAAGACCTGAAAACGCCAGAACAACTGGAGTGGGCTCAAGCAAGCGCAGAGAACGGTTTACCGGTGCTGCTGGAGGAGCACCCTCCATAAAGCAGACTCCTGGGACGTACTAGCTTCCGGACCTGCGCAATCTTTCGGACCCCTTTCTTTTTTCCGTGTTTTCTCTGCATCCGGATGTGTACAGTTCGATCCCGAGACCCCCCCCCCCCTCTCGGTCTGTGCCCGATTAAAGGTACCTTGTGGGAATCTGTCAGTTCCTTTTTTTTCTCTGTTTTGATTGAAAAGGCTTGGGAATTTCCCGCGCCTTAACGAGTGCGCTTAGAATTTGGCTCGGCAGTTAGAAATCCCGGAATTAACGGAATGCCGCGTGACCTTCCGCGCGCGGTTGTTCTCGGCCTCGACCTTGAAAACTCTGGGAAATTCTTGTAGGAATGTGGATGGACGGAAGACTTTCTTTCCCGCGCCAGTTTTGCGCGCGGATATGGTGCTTTCAATTTTWGAATTAGCATAGGATTGGGAAAAACCGCAACTATCTTGGTGCACATTCCCCTTTTGCCGATCSGCGCCATGCAGGCAAGCTCCCTCCTCCTTCCTCCCCGCGCTCCTCTCACYGTCCTTCTTCGCGCGCACACGCTTTTTCGCTCCCTCCCCCYGTAAYTGCTTTTCCCTCCCCTTCTCAGCGCTCGCCCTTTTTCTCCTTCTTGATCATCTGAATCTTGGACCCGTTCGCGCTATCCTTCGCGCTCTTCTTCTTCCCGMTCTAAGATCCACGCTCGAAAACCTAGTCGATCCTCTCTCCCCCTCTAGCCAAGGAGAAGCRCCGTGTAAGTTCATAYTGCGCGAYGATTCTGATTGGCTAAGGTCGAGTTAGGAGGGATCAACATGGCTTTCGACRGGCGGTCACTCTCAAACTCTCCTSTACCCTCCTCTGCCTCACCCTTCGCCTTTCTCCGCGTCTCTCTCCCTTCTCGCAGTTATAAATTCCGCCGGCGCCCCCGCAAAACTCTCTCTCAACTCATCGGCCAACTTTCGGGAAGTAGTGGCTAGGTGATGTGTACGGTGCGAGTCGGAAAGTCCTGACGAGATGACTGTAGACTGGCTGGCGTTGCGCTAGATCGCCACGAAGGACTGTGGGATCTAGGCAAGCCACGTCGAGACTAAGTTGGCGCGGTGACGATCACACTGGTGGAGGATGACGCGCGACGGCCGGGATCATCGGTGTCAGAAAGCGGACAGGTGATCTAAGTTGAGTGGATGACTGACCCGGGGCCATGTTGGAATTTGGTGGCAAGTGCGCCCTCTTGATCGCGAATCTATTCTTTGGTGTGATTTTACGGTGGTAAAGCCGGACCTTCTTTTCCTTATCCTATCTCAGTCTAACTCTTCCCTCGGATCTTGATATCCCCGTCTGTATCTGTCTCATTCCTCATTCTCCTTCTTTCTTGATGTGAATGATTCTACATAATAAGTCAAAAGTTGGCGTGTGATGGAATGGGTATGATGAATGTATGATTGGAATGATTTCTTCTGGAACTTTTCCATTAGTTTCCTRGGTWGTCCCCCGATCTASYRGGTTTTGTCTTGTGAACGGTGGATGCGCGTGTGTCCAACGTTAAGAATTTTGCCCTTAACACAACCATGTCGGGACATCGTATGGTTGTCATTTTCGCACCTTCCACAGTGAATGCATGTATGGAGGATGGGAATGAACAGGCACGAAACCCGCCTTGATTGAGATTTTGTCAGGACGAATTGATGGCAGGAGCAATGTTGTTGGGATTTTGTTCGRGAAYGCAAGAGTGGATTGATCTRTGACCACCRAGGAGTATTGCGAGCACCCCCGCCCGGAGTCCACGACTCCTATGGCTTACCCCTGAAGCCACGTGCGATCTGAGCAYRAAATARTGGCCGCGTCCCACCACACATGAGYTTTYCTTCTCTCTCCCCGAACCCTCTGTTTCTTCTTTCTGACCTTTCCGATTGGATTTCTAGGATTGCATGCATGCGATGAATGGTTAAAATATTCCTGATTATTTGCCATGTGGACTAACGGGCTC